AAGTCCCAATACAACAGGTATTTTACAGCCATGTAGTGTAATTTTTCCAGAACAAAAACACGGCCATATTATAGATCATGCGGCCTGTCGTAAAGAAGTCCGATTACCCTGTGGTACATTAGTAGACAGCTATTTTCATAACCCAGAAACTGAAGAAAAAGTCGTATTTTAATTTCATGGCTGTTATCGGCATAGTTGTCTTATATGTTTTCGTGTAAACAGAGATCAAAATCTGCGCTCTGGTGAAACTCTTGATTAACATTTAGAGCTAACACGTGCTATTTCAAATGTGGGAATATCAATTAATATTCATCCGTTACTGAAAAACGAGCCACTTAAACCACGCGATACTTTTTTTGGCGGCCGCACAGCAAATTTGTGTCATTACGCGATGTAGCGGGGTCAGAAAAAAAAATATGTCAATGTGTGTTCACTCTCTCCTTAAGTGTAAAAGACAGGAAAATTTCCTGTAGGCTATCCGACGATTTACGTTGGTGTTGAGTGTGATGAAATTCTTAAAAATAAAAATAATTTTGATGACATTAAAGGTCTCGTGAAATGTTACGTCTTGCTACCTCATAACCTCCTTTATCCTGTCTTACCATCGAGATTTTACCGTAAACTTGTGTTTGTATTATGTAGAACGTGTGCTCAAACAATTTATCAGGGTGATTGATGTCATAAAAATATAGCTGAACGTGTACTACACGGTACGTGAGATGTTCATGAAGTGCCTCAAGCTTTCGAAAAAGGGTATCGCGTTTTAGAAGTATTAGAAATATAGCAATATAAGATGATTCAGTATAATCGTGAAACGGGTATTTGCAGTCTTTTCACTGATGACATAAATATTTTTTTGAAAATTAAACAAGATGCTAGTCGATGGCCTAGTATCATTTTGAATAGTTGGGTTAAATAGTGGAATCAGATTAGTGCTCCTATTTCACGGGCTTTATTGCATATTCCATCTGGTCCGGAACTCTTTTCAGCCTTTCACTTTTTTACATGTTCGTAAACTTCGATGTCTTCAATTGGTTTGATGCCGTCACTCGTGTCTATATGAGTTGCTTGCGTATCCATTTCAGTGTTATTTTGTTTCCTGTACAGATTTTCGTAGAAGCTTGGTGCATGGCTTATTACATCTCTTCCAGATTTTGTTTCTTCTTAGCTGCGCTCAAGTTTCTGAATCCACGATTTCGTATCGTTAATTCTTTGTAGGCTACTTCCAAAATTCTCAATGTTTCTTGAAATAATCTCATATCTGTTGTTACTGTAGTCCTTACTAATTGATCTATTAGCCTCTTTGTATATTCTGCGAAATTCTACTTTCGTCTCTTTAGTTTTATTCTTTGTGGGTAGTAGCTCTGTGGGCCTTTACATGAGTTAGACTGTCTCTTCAGAGAGAATATTACGTTGATGAGGCCTGTAGTGTTTTTGTATTTCAAGCTCTCTGTTATACCTCTTCCCAGGATATTGTAATATGTTTGGGTGTCAATACACTCTGTTCCTATATATTATGTGTGCGCACGTAGATTTTCGATGTAATTTTTGATTTCTGCTCTTGTCTTGGGGATTTTAGGCGGTGTTGTGTAGATTTTTCTACTCTTCATTGGATGACTTAAGCGTAGTGTTGCTCTCACTAATCTATGATCGGAAAAGAAATTGAATTTGCTTAGTACTGTGATATTAGTTATAAGTTTGTGGTGGCTTATCACTATGAAATAAACTTTGTTGTCAGTTTTTTGGTTAGGCGATAGCCATGTCCATCTATGGTTCGCCGCCTTTTTAAAAATGAGTTCATTATTGACAATTTCGTTATTTTCTTTTATCCAACATCCCATTTTTCTCGTTTCTGCAAAAATTTCTCAGTTGATTTTTTTTAGAAAATTAGTTAATTCAAGGAATCGTTCTGTTGATGCAAGTTCTTGTTCATTCAGTGTTTCGTTTCAGTGGCCGATGGCAATTGCCTATGAGTTTTGATCAGTTGGCCGAAGGCAAAGAGTTGCTTTTATGCCTTATTAAGTCGAAAGCATTTAGACGATGTGTTTTGGTTGACACTTATTGTTTGCGGGAGTGTTCTTTTGCCTTGGGCAAGGTTGACGGTTCCCTTTTACGTTTCTTATTTCCTGGTTTCCTCTGTAGTTTCTTTCTCGTATCGAGAATTTTTTTCGGGTAGTCTGCAGACACATACACATTTTTCAGTTTTTTTTTATTGCCATATTTGCCGTTATTAAGTTTTTCTTCCAAAAGTTTACAAATGCCAGGAGGATTGGCCTGTCCTTCCCATTCTCTATGTTGTAATTGCCAATTCTGTAGGTCGTATTTTTGTTTCTGTCACGTATGATAATATTTAAATCGTCTTAGAATTTCTCTAGAATGATTCCGACGAGATTGTCGGTCGATTCTTTAGCTTCTTTTACTCCATACAAAATGAGGTTGTTTTATCTTTTATCGTTTCGTAGATTTTTGATCTTTCCCTTTAATTTCTCAGTTCCTGACCTCAATTCCTGCATTTCAACTCTGAGAAGAATTAATTTCATCAATTCGTGTTATGATGTAATCAGTTTGTTTTGACATTTTTATTTTCATTCGCTCGACAAGAGATTGATGGTTTTTCATTCTGCAGTCCCTTGCTTGGGGTGGAACGTGATATTATAAGCCCTAGGGAAATTCTTTTAAGATGCGAACGCAGCTTAATGAATGAAGTTGTTGTGGTGGTAGCACTAAACTGGCGTCATCAAATTCTGTGTCTATACTCAGTTTACAGATAACCCCTAAAATTTCTACGGTTTTTTATCCACTAAATAGTTATTCTGATGGCACAGTTTGCTCAGACCTTTATGTTTTGCAGTGTAGTTTAGCACGATATGTATGGAATTCAAACGTTTTTGCACATGCAGTTTGTATGCAGTGAATGAAAAATATTTACTATTAACTAAAAAAATAAAATAATTCTAAATTTTGTACATCAATCCTGTTCTGACTTGGTCAAGGGTATTCTATGGACAGCCTGACATTTTTCTTTCCATCAACTAAGTAGACAACTCAAGGTCTCTCCTGCCAACTCATCTACGCCAATTAGACTACTCTTAATCATTCCTAAGCGTTGATATCCCTTCTGAAGGACCCAGAAGCTTCTAGAACGCAGACTTTTCGAGAATGACGGTATATTTTAGTCGGTATTTACCAGTCACTGCGAGTATCCGTACGGAGTTCGTACTCGGACGACTCTTGGGCATCATCGAACGATTCCAACCGACAGATAACTCATTGTCACAGTCAACTCGGTACGTGTGTACAAGCAGAGAACTCACGCAGTCAAACTCGCTAGTGAAAAACCAGAAAACTCTCCAGAATATTCCTCAGAGATGAAATAACTCACCACTTAATTACCTATAGTAATGATTATGAACTCATCAGGCAGTCTGACTCTCAGCAGATTTATCCAGTAAGCTCAAGTCGGTTCGAATAAGCATCTTCGTTGCAAAAGGCGCGAACGATGGTAGCATAGACGCCTCACGGTCTCATGGACAGTCACACACACAAGATCCATCAGAACAACTCGCTTGTGTCTGTGTGACTCACGCCAACACATTGAAAATCAGACGACTCCTAATGCAGAGATCAGTACAGGAAAACATACAACTTTCCTGTGATCTTCTACTCATCAGTTAACTCATCAATGAACTCTATGTGAAATTTCAGTGACCTCAATATTGTACAAAGACATGCTTCCCCCCGTCCGAAGGACGGTAATGAGTACCTCGCCCCTTTAGGCATAACTCTGGGAAATTATAATACACTACTATCTTAGCGATGGCATTTTCCAGGACGCATATACCTGCACCTAGAACAGGCACAGGGATACACGTAACAAGCCCGAGGCCTTACGACATACCACTACGAGTCCGACCTCAATTGGCCAGTTGTACCTGGGCCTACATGTCATATTTTGACTTCGCAGCCCCAGGCACAGGGCTTGGAATTTGGCCTCCCGTAGTACCAACTTTCTCCGCTTTGGTCGGCGGTCGCTAACGCGTCTCGCGCTCGGCGTGTTCGACGTACCCCCATTCAGACTGCTATATAGGGCAGTACGAAAGTGGGGTACGACGGATTATAGTCTAATCTGCCCCCGTTTTTGCGCGACATATCTTAAGAGCAGAGACATCTATGCAACCCCGGGGGCCAAGCTCAATATTGTACAGACAATTCAAAGACTCTCTTGTCGTTATTTTTCTGTTACTATCACTTTATTGTTTAATAAATCGTAAACTGTTAAATAGTGTCAGCTGATTCATTTACACCGTTCAGAAGTCCCGACTGTACTAGCATCCAAATATCCTAAAAAATACAGTCTACAAAGTCTGGACTTCCCAGGCAGCCAACTCAAAGTCAGAATAAATTGCTTTAGTTTGTTTGTTACCATTCAGAAAACGATCTCGAACCTTTCATAATTTTTTCAAAGTTCTAAATAGATAATAAATAATTTTCTCGAATCAATTAATTAAAAAAGCGCTCAACGGCACATTTCGCCGGAACGCTTAAAATGATCGGTTTTATTGCGCGCGTTAAGAGTGTTGCACCTTTTCACCTGTAACAGGTAAGTATATGCCCTTGTGGACTTTTTTGTGGACAATTCGATTCTCTACAAAAAAGGTATCTGCATTTTCTTCGAAAGAACGAACGGTTCTCGCTGCGTAAGCAGTGAAAGGTCAAAAAATGCATTTTGCCAAATTTTAATTGTTAATGAACAATAGTAAAAATAATTTCCAAACAATGACATTTGGCACGAATGCTCTTCTTTAAGTTTTGTGTTGAAAACTCATTTCATAGTGCCTAGATACTTTTTTCCATGTAAATTATTATTCTACCTTGAAATATTGTACATATTGACAAAACGAATAAAACTCGACAGTTTTTATTGCAACATTGAAAGGGTAAGTTGATTTATTAATCTTAATTGATAAAGTTGATATTACAATGTATTTAATTTGACATACCTTTTGTTAAGATACATAAAAAAACTCCCCAGATTATAACGTGGAATGGACAGTGTGGTGACATAGTCATGGAGAATTTAACTATACATATCTTCCGTCACCTGTAATCTAAAAAAATTTATATTTTCAGTTTTCTATATCAACGATACTTCATGCTTGATTACAATATATAAAGTGTAAACGTCAATCAGAAACAGGCTACAAAAAAAAGGTAATTGTCCAGAAAATATCCCTTACCCCCAATTTTCTTGGGAATGGGGGTAGTATAAAAGTGGGGTATACGGAGTAACAAAGCCCATTCATTGCCCCGCCCCCCCGCGCCTGTAAAAAAAAATACAAAGTTGAAAAATACAAAAACAATACATAGTTATTATTAGTGTTCGTTTTTGTCAAATGAGTCTGAATAACAAAGAATCTTTGGAAATATGCATATGATAAGAGAAAATGAGGTGAGGATGGAAATAGGGTAAATAGGGTAAGGGTGTTTGTGGGCATTCAAAATTATCAATCTTAAGTATTCAGGAAATTTAAAAAATACTTAATACACCTATACTTGATGTATATATGTATATGTTGTAACGTTATTTTTCTACCCCCATAAAAGGGTATACTCTATAACGCACCTTCCTTCAGGTGGAAATCCTGATTAGAACCATCCCTGGGAGACTAATACTACTTTACCTAGGGTGCCAAGTTATTTTTAGTCACCAGAACAACTGAATTGGTATAACTTACAACTAATTCAAACTCAAATCTAAACTCAATATCTCAACTTACTAACTAACTCAAAATCCACACAATATCTTAAAATCTCAATACTTAAAACTAACTCTCAAACTTACATCAAAATCTCAATACTTATAACTCAATCTCAAACTTATATCTAACTTAACTAAGATGGTTCTACAAAAATCAGAATCCTCCTGAACAGGGCATGTCCTGGCCCTTAGTTGTGTGAGTTGTGGAGAGGGCTCGTGTCCGGCCAACAAAATAAAATTAAACAAAAATAATCGAAATAAGAGACCAAATGAAATAAACTCACTAACGGACTAGGTTGAAGGTCCCCAAACTACCAGAAATAAACTAACAAGTTCAACATATTCTTTTAACCTATATTTATTATAATAATAATTCTCAATTAGGTTTTCTTAACAGTTACTAGAACTCAAAATATCATCACAAATTTCTATATCAAATAATCAGTTACGCTACCACAATCTTCAAAATTAATCAACTAAAACTCTGACTTGTTACAATCCTGGAGCTCAAATAAACCTTACTTACTAACTAAAGAATATTTCTCAACAAAATGTTTCCCAATAAATCGCAACTTGAAATTCTAAACTCACAAACGCAATATTTTACTGTTCCACAAGAACCAAATCTTTAAATCGAATCAACTGAACTAAATCATATCTTCTTTATCAAAATCTTGAATTAAGCTTGAACTAACGAGTACGAGAGCAAACCAAGCCTCACGGATTTTCTTTTATTCAACAAAAATAATTTTAACTAACTACAAATTTACCTCCTAACCCATTACAAATCCATTCTCAATAACTCACAAATTCTCCAGAGAGCTTTCGATACTGTAGCTTTTATCAAACTCGGTCCTGGTTATCTTGGACGTCCTTCTATTTGAATTGAAGATCCTTTCTGATCTTCATTATGCTGGAGTCTTGTATGCTCTTCTTTCCCAACCAGATGGTAACAATGGACCCACCATGGGTACAGCGTGCCATCGACTAACTAAGAGCTCAGTCCGCAATCGACTCCCAAAAAAATTTTCAAAATCTCGTTCTTCAATTTCTTTCTTCTCTTCTCCCTCTACTCCAAAACGTCTTCCATTTGTCGAATCACATTTTCTATTGGTGGTTATCTTCACGTGACTTCTCCTAGATTTTCATATGGAGGGGTCACTTAAAACTGATGTATACCAACTTAATCCCAATTCCAAAACTTAATATGTAAACTCAAAAACGACCTCTTCCATACTTTCATCTTCTTCTTGGAGTCCTATTTTACTGGCAACAGCCTCGTGACTACAACCCTTAGGGCTAGGACGTCTCCCAGCATGAGAAAACTGCAGGGTGACACGTTGCTTTTGGTCCTCTGCTCCACTACAGCCTCCCAACTCTCCTCCTAACAGTCCAGCTGGTTGACAGATTTACTTGTTTATCTCAACTCTGCTTTACTTGGGTTATTGAGATTTTATCCACTAAATTTAATTACTAAATAAATCCCTCAGCCTTGGTTTACATTACTGATAATTAATAAATTAATAAATCAACACATATGAATAAGAACTTATAAATAACTATCCTACGCCATAAAATACGAATAAAGATTATAATTTTGTCTAAAATACGCAGAAATAAATTTCCATAATTACAATGGCTCATGACTTTAAGTGAAATTAATAAAACAATGAATTAATTGAATACTTTGGCGTAGGAAAAAATATTATGTTAAATAAAACACTTGAAAGTATGCATAATTGGACTATAAAAGTCAAGGTAATTGCTCGAATGAGCTTCAGATAAATAGTTTTACTTTTTAAATCATTACTAGAACACTCTAACTTGGCTATTATTAGCCTTAAATATTTAATAAAACAATTCTAGAGCTGACAATGGGACGTTATCGAAAAATAACGTCACCATATATATATATATATATATAAATATGCCCACGACACCTTTAGGCCTCCGTATCAACCCCTCAATCTAACGCTCTGACTTCCGTTGGCGACATAGTCGCCTTCGCAACGGAGGCCACTAGGTTTTTCCCATGCTTAACCTCACTTAACTAAATTTTTGTAACTTGGTACGCTGTACTTGCAGGGTGGTTTTTCTTTCTTAAACGATACGGCCACAGGCTGCATTGGACAGCGTACAATTTAAAGTTTATGATACCTACTTTTTTGGCATATATGTATATATATATATTGTATCATAAGTCCAAATAATAACTTCAGAATATTAATCAATAATGAAAAAGTTTATTCAAGACTGACAGCTAATTAATTAATTAGAAAGCAGACGTCCGGTCAACTCAAGTCTCAGTCGAAAACTAGAGACAAACAAACTCTTTCCTCGTTGCTATAAACATTCTACTCGTCAAGCAACGTCAACAACTTATAAAACTGTCGTTAGTCATTAGATGGTGACATACAAATATTTTACAATACATATATATATGTTTTGTTCCAATATTTACGTAATTAATGTGATATCCTTCGACATAAAAACTTGTCTTATTGTTCAATAATTTTTTAGATAAGAAGTGAATTTATTATTGACTTTGAGCGATAGATACATATAAAGGAAATATATTTCTCTTATTTTTCTATATTTTGCGATGATTCTTTGACCCTCTAATTCCATGAATTGTATTTAACTGTGTACAATTTTTGCTTCTAATATTTTTTTTTTGAATATGAACAAATATTTTAAACATAGTTATTATAGGTAACTATGAATTCAATTAGATCCGATCAATCAGCTCTGTGACCATAGCCAAATTGAAAATCGATAAATTTCAGATGCTCCATAATAATCACGAATTATTGTTAAATTTTTTTATTTGATAAACGATTATATTGTGAAAAATTTATTTGTCGTAAATGTGGTACTACCATGAACATGAATTGTGTAACAGTTATTTTGAATTGTTCAGCAAACACGTACAAATATATTGCTGGAAGAAGATCGACACGAAAAAGGTGAACTTTTCGTATACCTTCAATAAATGATACATGGTTTGAAAATGTACATGATATTGAGAAATTTTGCAAATTTTTCAGATATTTTTTGTGGTTCCCTTCACCTTATACACGTGTCATGACGGCAGCGTTAGATATAAATAAGCAAACGTCCATAGATTATGCTTCATTTTGTCAAAAGGTGAAATATACTTTATTCATTCATTTTTGAAAAATTTTTCACTCCATCCCCCTTCACCTCATCTACTTTTCCTACCTACTAACTGATATTATTCATTCATCTATCGCAATTTATTTTATTAATTAGGCTTGTTATCGCTATGTACAACGTCAAGATCAAAAAATTGGAGGAGTTGGACCAGTCGTGAAGATTGATGAGACTAAGTTTGGCAAAAGAAAATATCAAAAAAGTCTTCTAATAACTGAGTACTTATTTGAAAGAAAATATAATTTTTTAGACCATATTAAACAATAGTAACAGAAAAAAATAAGAGAATGCTAGTATGAATGATGTACGTAGTCTTGAAGATCTTTCCTGATAGCTGACGTAGTTAAATGAAAACCACCGATGTTACACCGAGTCTATAAGGGTAGTGCATAGACAGATATAACGCTATTCAAGTGATTAGAAGTATGAATAGATACATCTACAAAGATACTTTCTTATCAGGTAGAGAAGCGTGGATAGAGATTACTCTTACGGTCTCGGGATATCCGGATCTCTTCCTCATATTAACGGTTAATTGATTATAATTGAAAAGAAAATAAGAAGAGTTTAATGGAATGTTGGTCATGTTTATGATTAACGAATAAGTACTTAAAAAAACAGTATGTTTTATATACTAGAGGCTTATATAATACAGGCATGATAAACGTAACTTATCATGCCTGTAGAGTGGCATCTAAGTTGGGCTTTTATATCCATCATTCAGATAAGGTTAATGTTGTAGTATCATTTTCTAAGTGCGTGATCGGACTAGGTTTCAGCTGTAAATATTGCATTTTTAAATTGTAAAAGATGCGTTGTAATATTTGTCTTTAAATCGAGACTGTATAATGGTTAAATGCACTAAACCAAGCATCCATTATAAGAGTTAAATAGAAAGCGCTTATCGCCGAAACGACTTATCGTCAGGAATATTGTAAGTAATTTTTTTTCATGTTAATTGTTTATATCAATTGAAATTTTTATTAACAATGTAAGAAAATATCTATGCGAGATATCAAAGATTTTCAAATGCGTAATTTTTTCTTTTGCTGAAAAAATGTTATATGTGTAAAAACACATACTCCTTTTGTTTATAACAATCGTAATTATTATAAACAATAGAAAACGACATCTCTTTGACATATTCAAGTTCTTCCAACGTGTAATTTTTCCTTT